CTGCAGCAGGTATAAGCTATAAAGTATTGTATTGTATTGCATTGTATTGTAAGCTGTCTTTTAGTGACACACCAAAAACCAGACGGATGAAGTTAGTGACCCACTGGTGCACGTAATGGACCTTTATAGACCTTAAGGGAAAGAGATTTTCCTTCAGGAGTTGGTGGAGGGAAAAACAGAAATAAAAGAGAGAACATTTCTTTCTCATATTCAAACCTAAATATTCAAATTAAAAATTGTTTGCAAACAAGCTTTACAATGTAAACGTGATGATATTTCAATGCATTGTTCACAGCTTGACAGGAACAAAAAAGCAAGCTATTCCAGATTTTTTATGTAAATATCCTAACCATACCCTAATGTCTTTTCAATGTCTCTTGTTTTTGTTAAAGGTTGCATCATATACAGTGGACAGGTAATCTCACATGATTTTTTTTTTCAGAATATTTCTTGTCTCATTATGACAAAAGACACTTAACAATTTTTATCTTTTTCTTCCCTTAGTGCAATTTTACCATGACAAATGGTAAGATTTTTTCTTTTCTTTTTTATGTATACAACTCAAACAATTCAATATCTGGACGACAATGATCAAAACATTTATTCCTTTTTGTTCACAGAAACAGACATTTGTGTTGGAGTGAACAGGTGGGATTTGTAGATATGTATTTGACTTTGAGTTTGTTTGAACAGTTTGTGTTTTAACATACTGACAATAAATGTTTCATGCTCCTTCTTATTTTGGACATACAGCACGATGCTGCAGCTCAACCTCAACGGTGGACGTCTAATTGGACGCGTGTGCGACTTCTCTGTTGAGGAATTTGCATGTGCCCAGGTAAAACAGTGAAACATCTCAGCTCAACAACTGCCCAATGAAAGCTGTTTGGTGAAAATGTGTCAACATGAGTCCTCCTCCAATCTTCCTCCTGCTCTTTCTTTACGCAGCTCTCTGCATTGACAGCAGAGGAACTGAGAATGTTACTGGCGTGTAACCGCTCCGCTGACACAGTGGTTCCAGACCTATCTGGAAGCTTCTCCTCTCCAAAGCTTCACATGTGCTGGATAAAGCTCTGGATCATCTGAGCAACATGGTATGAATTAGCAAAACACCTCACTCTACCCTCTCCTGATCAGAGTAGGACTTTGTACTGGGTTGTACCAGCTGTGTGTATGTTAAAACATAGCCTAGTTTGAACGGATTGTAGCGTTGTACTAAAATGAAGCTACTAGACTTTATCTCAGTCTTTCTTGGAATTAAAGAACAGACAATGTATCAGGAACAAAAAATTGCCAATTAAGGGATTTGTACAGTGCAAGAGTTTGCAATGCAATTTTTTTAGGGCTTTAAATTGTTACATTGAGCACCTGTCCACTCAGTCTGCCATCTTGCTGTCAAATAAAGATGAACCTTATGTCCCAGTGGTGCAACCAAATGAGACAACTTAAGTTACAAACTAACTAGTTCCAACATAGGGTTTGGTGTGAACTTTGCATTCAAACTTAAGACAGAATTTAAACATAGCTGGTGCAACAGCTCACTGGATTGTTTTTTTTTTTTTACTTGTAGACTCTGGACCCCAGAAATCCAGCGGTGTTGATGATTTTGGACTCTATACGAGAAATCCGATTGGACACGCTTAGCTCTGTCGCCATCAACAGCCCCGCCCTCATTGAGCGGTGGTTCCAACGGCGGCTCCGCCCTTTCCTGCCTGCCGTTTCCCCTGACTTCCTGTCATGTCTGGTCACAAGGGGTTTGAACTGCAGCTCCTTCCAGCACCTGTAAGCAGCATCACATGCAGAAAGCATCTAACACATCCTAACTACTTTGATTTTGAAATACATTAACCATGTGACCCCCATACTTCATTTCTAAACCTAGGGTGCAGGTTTTCAGCAGTGTCCTGCCACACATGTCTCTCTCAACGCAGATGTCTGTCTACACACACTTTATTAGAGGTTTCCTGGTCATGAATGACACAGCAGGTATGTTTTTATCTTTACATAAACATGGAACAACAAAGTGAATGTGAGACAATAAAGACTGAAGTCCAAAAAATTGCCATAAGTGTTTTAATTTATTTATTTATTTATTTTCTTAAATAGTTTTTTTCTGGAACCTTAAACATACATTCCAGTCAGTCCCCCAACCTCCCCTGACACTGGCAAATCTAGACAATTTAGAATAATAGCAATACATAAATAATTTAGAGGATACATAGAATAATAAGTAAATGACAGTTACAGTAAAGTACAGATAAGATTTGTTAGCCACAGCATAGTTGCCTTTCTTAAGATATGGACAAACAATCCGAATGACAGTACATTTGAATTTGTTGTGTGTTTTTTTTCTTGTTCAGATCCTGGCTGCAGATTGAACATTAACACCAGTGTAGAGTGGCTGCAGAGGAACATGGGAGCTTTCTCTGACTTTGCATCTCTCGAAGACATTCAGATGTTGTATCCCATCTTCTCACCGGTAACCTTCTTTTTATTTTATTTCCACTGCTATTATTCTTCTTTATTGGCTTGTTTTTTTCTCTTCACAGTATTGTTGTCCATTAATGTGTCTGTGTTTACATGCAGCTGGAAGCTCTTTCAATGCTGACAGTTGGACAGCTAGCAGAGGTGGCCGCCAGACCTGGTCAGCTCACCTCTGCCGCCCAGGTTGAAATGTTGGCGGGACTCATCCCAGACAGACACTTACCTGACTTCTTTGACGACTTCTCCACTGCTATCGTTGTAAGTTTGCCACAAAAGTTTTAAGATCAAGTACTGTCCTTTCGGTTTTTAAGGCAAAAGATATCAAAGCTAGTGTGAGGAGTTTTTAGCTGGTTAGGAAACAAGCTGAAATTAAAACTGATGTCTTCATAAGAGCTTCATAGCAAACACAACCATCAGCAGTAGATAGAACATTTTAATATATCAACACCGCTGCCAGGTAAGTGTCAGATGAGGCGATTCCTAGAAAACAACAAGACTTGAGATTTTCAGATAATAACATGCAGTAATAGGATGTGAATGCACAGAGATAGATAGAGAGAGCGAGAGAGAGAGAGAGAGAGATAGAGAGAGAGAGAGAGAGAGAGAGAGGAGCCATGGGGTTGACAAAATCAACACAAATCTAGGGTTCCGCACAGAAGCTTTCAAATTCATACATTTCCTTTAAATTATTATTTTTATTTAACCTTTATTTAACCAGGAAAAAGTCTCATTGGGATTAAAAATCTCTTTTACAAGAGCGTCCTGGCCAAGACAGGCAGCAGCACAATTATTGGGTTTCAGACATACATGTACATGTGATACTGTACTTTCAAGAAAATATGACAATGAGTCACTATAGTTAACTGGCCGCAACTATCTAAACTTAATTTCTTTAAGGTCCTCTTTGTTGTTGCTATCCAAGTTTCTCATTCAACAAATGTAATAGAAATATTTTTTAAACAAGAGCTTTGCAAAAATACGGTTACAATATGCTGCAAACACATCCGACGTAGTACAGTTTGAAATACGTGTGGAAAGTTTACAAACATCATCTGAAACTTTTGTAAATGGAGTCCTTAACAAAGGCAGCAAAGTAAAACAGGTAGGTCATGAAATCAAAAGTCAAAGCAAGGATTAAGAAATACATATTTGAAAAGACGTGTACTCTTTTTAAAATATTTTCTCATTCAATAGATTTAAAATTCAAGTAAAATCAGGAAAAGCTGGCTGATTAAAGGATGTCTTTAGAAGGAACTATAAGCCTCAGCTGACTTATTTCCTCATTATGCAAAGCAAACAATACAATTCATAATTCTACAAACATGAAACTTGCGGTATGCGGTAGCTTTCTGACATCTTTCCTTCCCACTTTGTCTCTTTTCTCTGTAGGGTCACGAGGACATGCTCCAACATGATGTGAGAACAGCCATGTTGCAGGTCGTGTTTAATCGTGCAAACCTCTCAAATCCCTCAGTCAGTGATTCAGTGGTGTTCGTTTGGCTCCACGTCAGAATGCGCCCCCTGGTGCACAACATGTCACATCTGCAGGTTGCGCCATTCTTTCAAATACTTTCTGGAAGAGGCTGCAATATCCAACAGCTGGGGTCAGTGTAAATTATGTCATTGTTAGATAGAGCCATACAGCAGAAACTGAAAAATGACTGATGTCCTTTTTTTAAATCCTTTTTTTTCCAGAGTGGACATTCTGAATGGAACAATCTCTTCACTCAGTGATGTCACACAGGAAGAAGTCCAAACCCATATCATACTGTCTCTTAGAGGTAAAGAAAGTGCTCCAATAGAAATCAGCTTTTGCATTTATTCAGAGAGGTCAGTGGATAGAGTAGGAAATTGGGAGAAGGAGTGGGGAATGAAATGCCGGAAAGGGGCTGCAGGCTCTCTTGGAGGTCTATGGCTTCTGAACATGTGAAAGGAACTTACCGCTAGGCCATCAGCTCCCCTCACCATGAATCTTATCCCATTTAAAATGTTAACATGACAGCAAATGACAAAGGTATACAGTGCTGTGGTTTCTAAGTGGTTGTTGTAGATAAAAAAATGAAAAGACTTAAAACCTTAATTGTTCTGGGAACTCATTTTAGAAAGGATCTCTGGAGAGAAAAACATTTGAGTTTAAGAGAAAGATCATCTATGTTAAAGAAGAAACAGAAGTCATGCTCTGGAAATGTTGTTGCAAAAAAAGATGGCAGTAGAAAATAAATTCTCACCAAAGCTTGTCAGACACTAAGAAAAACCAATCAGAGCCCTTCAGAGGCAAAATGAGAACTGAGAGTTGACACACTCAATGGGATCAAAAGAATGACTTTTAGATATAGTTGAGTGCATTTACAAGCTTCATTGCATGACTCTAGTATTAGAGTTATTAAATCTGTCCCCTAAAATTACATCATCCATTCTGGGAACAAAATAAATGAAACATAAAGACGAGCTACAGACAGGGGAGGGAGCTACAGACCACTCTAGTAAGCAGACAAAAGTACCGATCACACATATCGATGGATGGCATTAAAAGTGGTAAGTGGTGCTGATTTGGCTCAGTTGGTGGAGCGAGTGCGACACATGCAGAGGCAATGGTCCTTGAACGTACTGATCCCTGATTGGAATCCCGTCTTCAAACGTTTTGTGCACGTCATCAACCATGTTTATGGATAGAGATGAGGGCTGCCTCTCTATAAACAGATAGTCATGCAGTAGAAGCAGTAGAACAGTATGGACAATCAGTGAGACAAAGTATGGATAGATTGTAAACACAATTGAATTGCTTTAGTAGAGCTCTGTGTTTCTCTTCTTTTTTTTAAGTTTAACATAAGTCTTATCTTGTCCTGTTTTGTTTGATTTGAGTAAAAAAGAGGATGACTCACACTTTATAAACCAAATCTACAAATAGATACAAAATAAACAACCTGACGTAACTTCAATTATACTCTTTCCAGGACCGGTAGCTCTCCAGTGCTACGGTAACAACTTCAACCGCAGTTTTTACGAGTTCATGGTGCGCTCGTTCTTGGGATTCCAGCTTCCCAAACTGAACGTCTTCCTGTCCCTCATCAGTCACGACAGAACAAACCAGGTGGGTATGCCATTATAGACGTGTCAGTTCGGGAGAGTTGATTATATTGCTTGAGTTTGTCAAGACTTTGTCTTATTTGAATGTTTTTCTGTAGTTGGTGAACTCCATGCCTCCATCACATCTTGGAGCCTTGCTCCAAACTCCTGATTTTATCAACAATGAAACAGCGCTCTGTGACATCTTCAACGTATACGACCAGACGGCAGTTTTCCTTCAGACTGTATGTACCAGAATTCCGCACACAGACCTGCAAACACAAAGTGATGATATATTGTAATATTTCTGTATACGTTCTCTACAGGTGATTCTCACGAAGGAGGTGCAGTGGCCCACGTTGTTTTGCGTCTGGCCATTGGCTCTCAGGATCACAGAGAGGTCAGAATTGGACGCCTTCTTTAGTGGCCTTAGCAACAACAACTACACAGACCTGCTCGATAGCAGTCTGATCAGCCCCGAGATCACACACAATGCATCCTGCCTCGCCTTCCAAAGGATGTATGTATAGATTTCACCATAGAATATCCTCACTAGTGTAGCTTTTTAAACAGTGTGATTGATTTTTATTTTGTTGTTTAGAGTTGCCATTCTTGGTGAATTCAACTTCAATGCTGCAGACTTCCAGAGGTCAGATGTGTTCCTCACCATCAGGAGTTACCTCACCTCAGGTCAGTACCCAGAATAACATTGACTTTAACTTTAATCTTTGTGTCCTTATAATCGGTCTGTAGAGCTGAAATACATGTGTTTACTGCACATAGGTGTTCGGATATGACGGTATCAGATCTTGAAGGATACAATGTGTCCACGATCCGCCAATGCAGACATCGTACTATTGCTCAACAGTGCACATTTTATACGTTGCAGTTCTATGATCCTCATCATACACAGACACATTCAAAGTTTATTCTCCGAGCCAAATCACTCTATTTGATCATTCCTTTCCTGCAGACACACAGATGCCTTGGACAACTGTTGAAATATTGGGTATTTGTCTTTGCAGGCACAGTTCCAAGATGCTACGATCCCAGCAACCCAGACCTGAACTCTACAGCATGGTTTGCTGAGTACATCGGCCCTTTCATTTCTTTCCTCACCCTGGAGGATTTACTGTCTTTTGGATCTCAGAGGTACTGAATTAATGTGCACTAAAAAATAAAGCTGCAGCTCGGGTGTTGTTCACAGAGGCTGAAATTAGGAAGAAAAATACTAAAAGATAGCCAAAAAGTGTTACATGTTCATAACCCTCTCTTTCCCCCCTCTGCAGGTGATCAGGGTGTTCACAGTGAACTCTCTGAACATCGCCCTCCTCAACCAGGCTGGCTTACCTGCCAACCTCACCAACTACTACACAGAGCTTGTTTATGAACAGGACAGCAACTTCAACCCCTTAATGTGAGTCTTAAAAAGACAGCCTTTTACACATCATAACAATCAATTGTTTAAAGTGGAGGAGAAGTACATTCATTGAAGTACCTCAATTAAATTAAAACATTAAATGCAAATTGAAATTATTCTGCTCTAGAGCTAAATGTTGTACTTTTTCTGCACTACAATTGTCTGTTGTCATTCGATACATTGAAGACTGCATTTGTTCATATTCTACTTTACCAATACTTATCAGCTTTATGTGTTTCTTTATTTCTCTCTTGTTGTCTCCTATTACAGCCCCCCGTTTTGTACTTTTGTTAAGCGTCCTTGGGTTCCTTGAAAGGCGCTATATAAATCCAAGCTATTATTATTAATATTATTATTAGTAGTAGTATTATTATTATCATGCTTCTCCAATTATTCTTTTTTTTCTGATCATAGGATTGTTCCTTTAGGTTGGGTAAATTGTCCTTCCTCTCTTCTCACCAAGAAAATAGAGATGAGGATATTTGGACATTTTAGAGATCCTTTACTTTCAATCTACAGTATGTTGATCTTTAAGAACATGATCCTGTGGAATAAATTACAAAAAAGGATATAAAGTAGAAAAATAAATATAACCTTGAACATCAACAGCAGCGACATGCAACATAATGCAGCAGTGATATTAATAAACAACATCATTTAGAAGTAAATACTCACAGGAACCGCTTTACTGCATGGTGACTTTGATTTTCTTGTGATGTAAGTACATTGTACAGATAAAGCTTAGTTTGACTAAGGTAAGGGTTTCCCCCCTTGTTGTTGAGTACTTTGACAGTGTGGAATAGTTACTTGAACTGTAAAGTGTACTAATTCTATTTTCTCCCTGCAGACTTCCCGTGTTGTTTTGGTGCGATGTTCCTGGGCCGGCTTTCGCCCAGCTGACTGAAGCAGAAAGTATAACAGTTCTGCACAATGTGACCACTATCTGTTCAGACCTGGATCCACAGGTAAAAAAAAAAAAACCCATAGTAACAGGAGATATGAAGTTGTTTCTAAAAAAAAATGTTTCTTAAAATTGATTCTCATCATATTTTAAAATCCTCATCATATTGTAGGTATTGTAGTCTATGTACTATTTAACCTGACTGCTCACAATCCTTTCATGGAATTTGTTTTCCTCTATCAGAAGAACATTGTTGAAATGTTGCTGATCAATATTTTTATTTCAAAAGAAAATCTGAAAATATCTGTCAGATTACTCGCTCAGCGCTTTTCTCAGTCAAACATGAAAAACAGAAGATGACATGTGGAAACCTACTGAGGGATCTCTCTTTTTTCATCCTGGTTAGTTTGTTTTGGAGGAAGACATTTCTGTGTATTTTGTGTTGTTATTAAACCTTAACTAAAGCAAAATATATCTTTTACAAGGGGCTGACATATCAGAAACAAGTTTAGGTTCTTCTGGAAACATGACAGTTCAGAGGGAATGAATGATATGGGTACAAAAAGGCTTTTGAGTAAAGTTTGTAAGAATAAATAAAATGTGGATGTTGTCTCAGTGAAGAAACGTTATGAGGACCAGCGATGGAAGTCAGAAAATTTGCCCTTCAGCAATGGCTTAATTTTTCAACACTGTACCTTTATGGGCAATTCAAACAACCTTCTCAATTTCTTTTTAACATAACTCAACTTCACACAGAAAAAGTACTTCAGCTGATGCCTTGTTTCTGATCCCTGCAGGTCACTTCAGCCTTGGCGAGTAATCTTGGTGACAACATTGATGCCACAGGCATTGCTGCCCTCGGCAATCAAAGCAACGGCTTGTCCACAGGTCAGATCATGACGATAAATCCTCAGGAGATACATAATTCCCTCAGCACTTTTAGTGCAGTGACAGGCTGGAATCAAGGGCAGGCCCGGGCCATTTTTCTGTTACTGATGTCTTCAGGACTGCAGGTAGTTTGTCTGTTTTTTCTCATTAAACTCAGGTTTGATTTTAGTTTGTGAGCACATCAGAAGAATACTCATTTGTGTTGCTTCACATATGTTTTTAATCCTTACAGATCAATAGCGCCTCATCTTTGATCATGCTTGGATCAATTTTCAGTGGTGTCCCCTCTACAACTTTGGGGAACTTCAATGGCTCACATTTAATTTCTGCTCTTACAAATGTTGCTTTTCTGCAACACGTTGTGTCTGCTCCGACATTCCTCCGACAGCAACTTGTCACTCAGGTGAGACAGCTTCAGTTCCTTTCCAGATCATCTGAGAAATGTAAATGTTAAGCAAATTAATTTAAGTCGAGTTTTATTTTCATGACAGACGATATCGTATTTTGTATGTTCTATATAACTTCCTTTATTCTGCTGACTTGCATAGGGAAAAGGAAAATCTGTTAACAGAGACAAAGTGAGGGAAACAAAATAAAAACAGAAAACAACCACCAGACATTCTGTCGATGTCCTACACTCAAGGTGTACAAAAAAGAAGAGCACATTTACAGTATTAAGAAACATAACAAGTGCTGGAATATGGAATAATTGCTGATTGAAAATTGTAGATTATGAAAAATGAATCCAGCAGAGATAAGGCTCATTTATGTCACACTGTATATCCTTTAGACTTAACATTATTTTCATTTTTTTTAAAGATACTTTGAGGGCTATTTGTGCCAAAGAAAGTGAGGATTTATTTTCTTTTTTTCTTTTTTTTTTTTTTGGGGGGGGGGGGTGCTCACATGCAGCAACTAATAAAGAAAAAAGCTAATTTCACATTATGAATATCGGCAACTAGAAATTAAGTATGCCTAACATTTATCCATCAAATTAATTTTAAAGGTATCAAAATAATAATGATGATAACAACATTTGACTTAACTAATTTCCCATACCCCCTCTCAGATTATAAAAGTGAATGGCAACACTGAGATGATCTTAGAAAACGTTCCGGATGATCTGGCCACTGAAATCCCTCTTTTTCGGCTGATTGGCTTGACAAGCAGTAACACTGTTATCACAAGAGTTAACCGAAAGAAATGGAAACGGCAGCAGGTAAGGGGACGCATCACTAAAACACTCTGGTACTGAACACACCTACTGGCAATTCATGTCATTACGCAATCCTTTTCTCTTTTTTTTCCAGAGTGTGTTCTTCTTCAATGTTATAGCTACTGAGACATCAGCTAACGTTCTGGGAAGTGCAGACAAGTACGTTCATTTTTCAATAAAATAATAGGCAACATAAAATACCCAATCAGGCGCATTCTGCAAGTAAATTTTAACGTGTGTGTGTGTGTGTGTGTGTGTGTGTGTGTGTGTGTGTGTAGCTTGTCCTCCTCAGTGCTGCAGGGGTTCACATGTACAGGGGTGAGGAGCATTTCAAAGGGGCAGATCAAGAAGCTGATCAGAGCTAGTCGGAGGAGGGGCAGTAACAAGGTCAACCTGGTGGAGACTCAGGTAAGAAAGTGTTATGGACTTGGCGAAGTAAATGCATTTATATACACATGTGAATGAATCAGTTTTTATAAATAGGGTATTAAAACAAAATGTGTGAGTCAAAAAAAACTGCAAGAAAGTACACAGAGCACTACTTTAAAGACACAGGAGTTGTTGTCAGAGTAGTGGAGTGAAGACCCAGGTTTCTAAATTCAGACTGATGAGCTTAATGGAAACAAGTGTGCCTTGGGGAACCGGGGCCGCCCGCCTTGTGGACTGTAGCCTCTGTACCTGCGGCGAGAACAAACCACTAGGCTAATAACACAAGAAGAAATGAGATTTTAATGACTCTCAAAGTCAGAATACTGGTGAAGAGTGGATTGAAAGTGCACTTAAAACTTTACCTGACCTCAAAAGGGTTCTGTAATGCTGCAGCTAGGCAATTACATAATTATTTTATGACAGTTTGTCTTAGCTCATGAACTAGTGGTCAGGTTGTGTCCCATATACGGAGGCAATAGTCCTCCAAGCGGGCAAACTTGGTTCAAATCAAACCTGTTGCTCCATTCCTGCATGTCATTCCCCACTCTCTCTCCCAATGTTTTACTCTAACCCTGTCTAAATTAAGTCAAAATGACCCCCCTCCCCCCCCAAAAAAAACAACAACTATATTTCACAAGTTCAGAATCATTAACAGTTTCTTTTCTTTACATCAGCTGACCTGCATGTATAACCACATCCGTCAAGAGGCAGATGTCACAGATTTCAACGTCTTTCCTCCTGACATGCTGCTGTACTATGAGTGAGTTTCATTTATGTCCAACAAAGGTTTCAATTCAAGTTTTGTCAAAATGACTTAACTGTCTGAGCAGTTTGCATTAAGTACCATCTCTCTTTCCGTCTACAGTTACTCCCAGGTGCCACAGAGCAGCTGCCGGCCTTATTTCCAAGAGTGTGCAGACGCAGACTTCAGCATCTTCTCCCCAGCCCTCAGCTTCAAACGGGCCGCTCTGTTTGATAACGCCAGGAGCTGCCTGGTGAGTCCCCTAGCAGAACATTACATTTGCTCTCCCTGATTAGTTTGCTGATGTTATAAATTCTAGACTGAAAAACCAGATTAAATGTGGGAAAGGGCAGGCTGAGTCTAAAACAGTTTAGTAGATTGTCTTCACTTTAGGTTTAAAACAAGGCGCAAATGACATTTGCAAAAGGAAAGATTGGACCTCAATCAGACCTTTTTTACTAAAGACTAAATTAAAAGAGACAATGCCTGTGACCGCACAAGTTTTTATTTGTTCCCTCTACCTTCAATCAGACGTCAGATGTACTGTTTGGTTTGTTTTAAACTCATAACTTAGTAAGGAAAACTTACTTTATTTTAATTATAAAATAATACTGCAATCTGTACATTGAATACTGTTCTAAATGGTTATATTTTCTAAGGGCATTACAAACACGAGTTTGACAAAGGATAACATAGCAGTGTTGGGAAACATGTGCTGCACTCTGGATGGATCCTACATCGAGAACTCGGACCCATCTATCTTGGAACGAGTGCAGAACTGCCCAGACCTCGATGCAGCTCAAGTGACAGCTGTTGAAGCTTTGCTGCAGAGCGGGAGAACACAGCATGGGTATGTGGACAGCAGCAAAACATCTGTATTTAGTTCATAAAGACACTATAAAAACCTATTGTTGACACTTGTTGTACTGTATCAGCAAATCAGATTTCGACCACTAGTTGTCCTCTATTCTTCCTATAAATGATTTATTCAGCGACAAGTTTAAACCATAGACAGCCTTTTCTTTCTATGTCAGTCTAAACCCTTTCTTTTTTTACACCGTTCCACAAACCAGTGCTCCATCAACATGGGATGTAGAGACTCTGAAGGCCCTCAACATGTTACCATTGTATTTGACTTCAAGTTTCTACGATAACTTTGACAAAGTAAGAGACACACAAATGCAACATAAATATATGTGTTACATCAAGGTCTTATGTACATAATAGTAAGCCTCTATAAGCGTAAGACATCTTTTCAATGTTTTAGTTTTGTCCAACAAAAAGTTATGCAATACATTTTGAGTTCTGTGTTTCAGTGTTATGAGATCCACAGTTGTCAATCAAACATAATTGGCCAATTCCAAACAGTCTTCCTAAATGGTCAAATGACTGAATAAGACGTGTTTTAATCTGTATGTCTATAGTTATGGATGTTTATTTTCACCTGGATTTATTTGGGCTCCAAATGAGATTCTTAACTTTGATATCATATACGCATCTTAACTGTTTTACATCAAATTTCCAAAGCTTTAAGAAAAGAAAGTGACTGCATTTCCACTGGTCTGTGGCGTAATATAAGCTATCTGGTGTTGGATTGAAGTTGATGGTGGTTGTTTTTGAACGTGTGTTGGGTTGTCCTTTTTTTTGTTGTTGTGTGCATCCAGAGAACAAAGAGGAGATTCTTGAGGTTCTTCCTGAGAGTTAATAGAAGGAAATTGAGCAGACGGATGAAAAGAAGGATAAAGAGACAAATAGGGAAGTCTTTCAGACTAAGATCAAGGCGCTCAGTGGGTGAGTCCTATTCCGTTGTCCACTCTGCTTGTTTTATCTTCATGAATTTCTTTTTTTATATGTATTGTCCCTGTGTTTCTAGAAAACGAATGCACCACCGGAAATATCACTCAGGTGACTATTAGTGACGATGCGTTCCCGATCGACTACGATGCAGTACAGTTCGATAGATGCCTCAGTTCCACCATTGTCAGAGACAGCTTGGCTGCACTCACTGAGAAGGTTGATGACGAGAGCTTTCAGAGGATTATTCTCGACAAGTTGAAAGAGGTAAGAGATGGAAACCAGCTGAGATTTGATTGTGCAACTTTTTAAAGCTCAAGTGAACAGTTTTAAGCTGGTTTGATACATTTGACTGTTCAGAGCAGGATGAGATATTTTGTAAGCAAAACAGTCAAATGAACAGGACAAAATCAGCAGAAAGATAGTGATACAGCTATGTCTACAGGGGAGCAAAAATACACACCAAATGAAAGTTTATTTTAGGAGCTTAAAGTGAGCTTTCAAGGTGGAGGCTTTTAGACAGTGGAGCTTGTTGAATAGATTAATGTATAGAGCAATTGTAGACAAAACTTCTGAACAGAGCAAAAAAATAAATCAGTAATCAGGGTGACCAGTAATTATTTCAGTAAAAAGTGTAAAAGCCAAAACTGATCTTTAAGAACTAAGTTATATTTTCTGTTACCGTGTTTTTTAAAGCAGGGTCCTGAGTCACCAGGGGGTTGCAATCTTTCAATTCATAATATAGCACACACCAAAAGTCATTTGAACGTAATAAATGAATAATAAGAGATAAGACATATATTATTAAGGAATGTTAAAAAAAGATGATTAACTAAATACAATATTTATTAGTTGAAAATAAAGATAAGGATTTGTATTGTATTTGTCATCATACTAATTTTTTTTACAAGAGGGAGATCCTCCGCCAAGGGGTTAATGCTATATGGGGTTCCTTGGCATGGCAAAGTTTTGCAACCCCTGTTCTATTACATGAAACTATATGCTTATATAAGTAGTGATATATGTATTCATATCTTTCAGAAATATTAGCATGAGAATACACTTAAAGTGCAAGAACTCCTGATGCAGAAGGATGTCCTATGGAATTGATTTAATTTATTTTAAAGAATATTTTACTGGCAACATTCCCATTGAGATATGAAGAATTTAAAAGAATACATTATTAATCTGTCATAAGATTACAAATGTGTCAAAGTACCTAAATCCTACATTTACAAATCCTACATTTACAAATAAATGAACACCATTTTCTTCATAATAGTTGTAGTCTTCTAAAGTAGAAGTATTTATTTGTTTTAAAAAACAAATCCGACCTGTTGCTGCTTTCCTGCAGGTCATTCCCAACTCTCTCTGTGTCTCTCCAATTTACGGCTCTGTCCACTGTCCACTGTCCGGTCTCTTGAATAAAGGCATAAAAAGAAATCTTTAAAAAAAAATAAAAACAGAGGGCTGATGTGTATAATGTCGTTGTGATGTTCCAACCATTTTAATTTACAATCAATTAGGAAGGAGGAAGGAGAATCAGAATGGAAAGGACTCATTAATACAATGATCTATTGTGTAACATGTAAGCCTGTAAAGAGAACTCAGTCAGGATAAAGCATACCTAACCTAAAGCTTCATATTTAAATGAATACTTTCATACCAACCATTTTTTGTTATCTTATATTTATCATCTGTCCCATTCAAAATGAAGCACAATAACTTTTCTTGTATTTGTTTGGCTTGAATAAATGTGGAAGATAAAAAAGTTTGAAATCTGAATGGAATTTGATTATTTGTGTTTATATGTGATAACCCATTAAATGTTAAAAAATGTACCATTAATGTTGGCAATGTTGGGAACTTAATATTTGACAGTAATTTGAATGTTACATAGTTCAATCACTCTGTTAAACATGTTTGTTTGGTGATCCTGTAACATAGTCTCTTTGTTGTCTTCACTCCATCTTCCTTATAAATATTTTTTGTCTATTCTGTCAAAACTTTATCGAGACCTTTAAACACTATAACTGACTCTCGTGATGATTCTTGAATGCCTTCTCGCTGATTGTTGTATTTATAGGCTTACGCTGGCAGCTCTACCATCCCAGAGAGTCAGGTTATACTCTTAAGCGCAGTGTCCCGAGTCGCCACTATTGATGACATCAACATGTGGAATATCACTCAGATCGACACGCTCAGTTCTTTGATGATCACGGATGATGGAGAGTGGGATCCGAACCTGGTGAGTTTAAGTCTGTTTAAGGAGAAAGGTGTCTGCATACCACTTGTGTATTCTCAAAATCAATATTTGCTCGTACAGGCTGAAGCAATCATCACCAAGTATCTGAGTACGGAAGGCAACACACTGAGCAGTGCTGTGCTCAACGCCATCGCAGGACGTAACCTGTGTTCCCTGGACTCTGACGTGTTAAAGAACATTACGGAACAAAGCCTCAGGTAAGGAGTCAGGACCGTGTGTGCCTGTTTGTAGGACACTGGTAACATGACATATGAGTCTGTTAAAACCAAGTTAAGGTCAAGTAATAAGGGGTGTAATATAAAGATGATGTGCTCAGGAAAGCATTGAGCTTTTTATTTTTTTTAAACTGGAAGTAAAAATTAGACCAAGCTCAGAAGCTTTCACTGATTAAAAGATAATGCAAAAGGAAAAGTCTGTTGAGGCAGTAATCAAAAGGTGATCGGGCTTTGGATGGTGCCAAATCATAACATGAAAATAACAGAACATCTCATGTTATGCATTGATTTACTGCAATTAAAGAATCAGCTTATGAGAATGAAATAAAAATCTTTCCTGCTTCTATATAAAGAACATTGAAAAATACATCAAATATTAAACAAAAAGGAATCACAGAAAAATATTGAGAGCTTGTTCATCATTTAGTATGAAAAGTTTATCATGGTCACCACCCCTGGGTGGGAGAGTGACTTGTGTGATCCCACAAAAACACAGGTAGGATATTTCATGATGCGCATCATTAAAATACAAAGCATCAGGGTAATCCTGGTTATTTCTGCGTATTGTGCTTTTGTTCTCACTGATCCATTGTGTTAGTTTTCTAGTAGTTTACCCAACATAGACAGGTCCACAGATTGATGGTTGATGGAAATTTTTTACTTGTATGGGGATGGGGAAATGAAGTGGAGGTTCAGGTTGAGTTAGAGATCATCTAATCTCTTTAAACACATTCTGAATTTGAAAACAGAATCTGTTCTCCATTGGAGAATCTCCAAGTAATAAAGGGTCCAAGACAAGTAACAAAGTGATAACGAAATAACTAGCTGTTCTGCAGGCGTTGGTAATTTACCTCTTTATGTGCTGGCAAGGAGAAGAAACTGAGATCTTTGAGATTGCAACATTAGAGGATACATTCTTGGCATTCAGCACATACTGTATGTTCTAAGATGCTCAGTTATTATTCTTGCTTCATTCTCAGTTTGTTTATGTCCCTTGCAGAGATGCAGCAGTCCTGGATTTGTCCAACTGCACCTTAGAGAAAAAGCAAGTTCTGTTCATCATTGCGGAAAAAGCATTTACCCCAAACACCCGCTCAACTGCTGTCTCTGCGGACACCTACCAACTGATACAACCTTTCACTGGTAGGCAAAAAAACCTACAGCCATCCAAACTTCATGCAGAAGACTTGATTTGGATTTCAAGGTTTGTTGCAATCTAACTGTTTGTTTCTTTTCTGGTCTGTAGGGGGTGCTACTTCAGAATATGTCCAACGTTTGGCAATCTCCGATATCAATATGGACATGGCTACCTTTACTGCTCTGGATCCAAATGTTATTCAGGTCAGTGATTTGTGTGTGTGTGTGTGTGTGTGTGTGTGTGTGTGTGTGTGTGTGTGTGTTTCACATGTCATCAATGCTCTTGGAAGAAGTATACATATTAATTACCTGGCTAATTATCTAGTTAGATAGAGATTCTCATACTGGTTGTTGTTCACAAGAGTTGTGGATTTTACATTGGTGTCATGTAAGTTAAATTATACTATAGTTTCAAGACAGACTAGAACATGTGTGAATCTATCATTCAATAAGTGAGTGTTTATCTGAACCCATATATCAAATATTTCCTTTCTGACCTCCCTAGAACCTGGACGTTGATAATGTCAGAGGACTTCTAGGCACCAACCTGCCAGACTTAAAGTCTTATGAAAACGAAACAGTGGTAAGGAACTGGATAAGCATTCAGTTACAGTCAAATCTTGACAGGCTGGGGATTAATCTTACAGGTGGCAGGGCCACCACCGGCACCACTGGCTCTCCTGCCACAACTAATCCTGGAGCCACTACCCAACCTGCCACCACCAACAATCCTGCAGCAACTAACAATCCTGCAACCACTAACAATCCTGCAACCACTAACAATCCTGCAGCAACTAACAATCCTGCAGCCACCAACAATCCTGCGACCACTAACAATCCTGCAACCACTAACAATCCTGCAGCAACTAACAATCCTGCAACAACTAACAATCCTGCAGCCACCAACAATCCTGCAACCACTAACAATCCTGCAACCACTAACAATCCTGCAGCAACTAACAATCCTGCAACAACTAACAATCCTGCAGCCACCAACAATCCTGCAGCCACCAACAATCCTGCAGCCACCAACAATCCTGCAGCCACAAACAATCCTGCAGCAACTAATAATCCTGTAGCCACCAACAATCCTGCAGCAACTAATAATCCTGCAGCCACCAACAATCCTGCAGCAACTAACAATCCTGCAGCCACCAACAATCCTGCAGCCACCAACAATCCTGCAGCCACCAACAATCCTGGCGTAACTAATAATCCTGCAGCCACAACCCAACCTGGAGCCACCATCCAACCTGGAGCTACAACAAATGCTGGATCGAGTTCCACTACAGGTGAGGTTAAAGAGTTGCATAATACAAAAGAATGATCTGGAACCAATTTGCCCCTTATATTATATTAAATAAATTATATATTATAATATTATATATTAAAAATATATGCCTAACACAGACAAAGGTTTATAGAAAAACCACCTAAACTTTGGGAAAATAAGAATGTCAGCTTAGTAAGGTTAGATAACAAAAATCAACTAATGACCTTTGATGAGTTTTACCAAGGTAGAGCTTACATTTGTAATAAATAAGGATACAGTATTTGAATTTTTTTGGGTAACAATATCTGAATGAGAGAAGAGATTCCTGATCATTTGGAAGTTCTAACAGTGGAGCTCTTTTCATAAATGGGAGTTGACCTGTCTTGAGCATTTCAAAGCATGACTTTATTTATTGTTTCAGAACAACATGACCAACATTTGTGGCAGGATTTGTGTTTAAGCTTGAAACATGAAACTCATGCTGAGACGACACAATCTATTGCACTAATAGATCCGAGTTTACTACTACCGTGTATCAATGCAGGAGTAGAATCCTTTGATGACCCAGCCTTCATAGTCTGAGTAGACCATTCAGGCTGAACTGAATTGAGACCACCTGGTCTAAGGAGGATTTCTTCTTTGCTTCACCAGCTGTACGGTAGAGCCTGTACCTGCCCTTACCCTTTTGTTTTTAAGTGTGCCTCAATAACTGCACCAGAACTAGCTAACATTTCTAACTTCATTTAAGTTATTATTTTCAATATAATTTGACGTTTTTAGGCACCTTTTGTTCAATTCAAACCTGCCTATATTTAAAAAAAATAAATAAAACATAGGAACTTCCAGTAGATCGAAGTTTTACATCATAAACTTAACCATGGAAACATGAACTAGCTAGTCGCTACAGATCAAAATGTAAATGAAAACAGCTAAAAGCATCGGTAAAAACTGAAATGTTTGATGTCACAAGGTGGATATTACTCTGACTTGTCAACTGAGCCGTCTGTGAGTTTTTTAAGTGGAATGAGCCATTCAAAGGCCCAGGTGTGCTGTGTTTTTTCGATCCCCGCAGCTGCAAGAAGGTGGCATGAATACGATGTGCCGAAAATTATAAAAAATAGCTTATGATGATGCAATTAATTCCGGCCTGAATGGCATCATTATTATTGCGTCAATGCTGATAGCCCTTGTTTTACTGTTTATTATCTACCGCTTGAGAGTCCACTCGTATGCCCTGTATCGATCATTTTTTGGCCTGGGAAAGGAGAGAATGCAATTTGAAAGAGCCTTTGAAATGGAACAGACTACAAAGCACTGCTTTGATGAAATATGTCTTCAAATGCGCTCTCTGAAGGATGCAGCCCCTGAAATGAAATGGGACACACCCATCAATAAGCTAGACAGTAACAGCTAAAAAAAAAGTTTCCGATTGTTGTCATATCGGTTTGGCAATCAAGAAGCATGCTTTAACTACAATTTGATATGAAATGATGGAATTATTCTTTAAAAAAAAAAAAAATTGAAACTTAAAAGTTAAAGCTTGCTGAGCAAAAGTAGCCATGAGGTATGGGGCTCAGTTACCGGGGTTTTTAAGGGAGAGCAGCTATATAGGCAATGCTACTGATTGCTAATATTAGTTACATTAAATGAATAAATCAAAATTATGCTATATAGTGTTTGGCTAATGAAGAAAATAAACTGTTTTCTAAGTGAGATGGTGTTTTTTGTCTGTTTTTAGGTAGCGGTGGTGTCCGCATACGAGGCGACGGCTTCTGCTTCCTTGTTCTCCTCGTGGCCCTCTTAACTTCTCAGCACATTCTAGCATGAAGAAGAAACTGGCTGGTTCTATGAAATGATTTATATATCCACTGGCAGAAGGAAAAACTGTCTAAGAGATGATGGTGATGACTATGAAGACAGCCAAGGTTACCTCAAACCCCAAGAAATGCTTCTAATAGAGTTTATGTAAATAATGTTTTCTCTGTAGTCATATTAAAGTCTGCTCTGAAACTTTTTCATGTAGAACCTGAATGCTCATATATTGACTAGCCCTTTTTCTGCTGATTGCTTTTCTCATTATTATTAATATTAGAGTGAAGAGTTAGTTTTTACAATGTCTAACATCCTTTTTGTCTGACTACTAATCCATTTTTTAAAACTCTTGATACAAAAAGCACAACATCTGTCTGTTAGAGGCCATAAGATTTACCCAATTTATGTTGTGTCACAACTGACACATTTCTAAAATCTTCTTGTATTGCTCTCTTACACTTTGAAATGAAGGGATGGTTTTGTGTTTAGAAAATTATTTCAAACTGAAAACAATTTGGCTCATATCCAGAAGTAGTTATGCTGTGCAGAGTTTGGAAAATGCATCTTGAGCATAAGAACGTCTTAATACTTGTTTTAAAAAAAGACTAACAGAAAAGGGGAGTAAAGTAAAGTTTCTGTTTTATCTGTATTTCTAAATTCTATTTACCTTTGTTCAGAAAGCACTTACTTTAGACAAGATTTCCTTGAATAATGAAATGCATGCCAGGATCTGTACGACTTCAATAAGCCATCAATAAATAAGAGTTTTGAAGGTAAACGTTTGTCACTTGAAGTTACATTTTATTTGTACAGTAACCAACACCAACAACATCTTTAGTCACACAAGTAAGTCCAAGTTGTACACAAGTGAACACCATTTGTTTCTCCAGTCTAAATTTCTAATTATTTTAAGGCAGCAATTAAAAAACGAGTAGAAGGCAAAAAAATGTTAGTTGCGATTCAAATTTAATACATTTACATACATACATTACTATTTCTGAATCTAAAAATTGGTTGATTTAGGAAAAAATGGTGTTTGCTGTTTGGTGTAATGATGGGGATTTAAAGCAAAAATATGTAGGGATTTGGTTTGGAAAACCTGAGATATAACTTGGGTTAGATGACTTACTCTACCCTATAAAGATGCTAAACATAAGACGATGATGACACTGATAATGATAGTCTAACGTTATGTTGAACTCTGTTTTGAGTAATATCTGCTAGGATGTAGACTAGACTCAGCTTCTGGCTCAGTCACTCTTTTCTTTTTCCCTGTTGTTAGCGTCATTGTCCCAGTCCTCTTTTGTGTCTTCGCCTCAGCCATTCTAACAAATCAAACAGAGAAGTTACATATCGTTGCTTTAATCATAAAAGGAAACCATATAAATGAAGGCTTGATCTAATAATGTTCCATGTTTCCAATATATGTCTAAAAACTTTTTTAAAAAAAGAAGAAAAATTGCATTATCAATTGTCCATACATGTATTCACTCTATTAAAATGCATGACATAGAAGGGCATTTGCCAGGTGTTTGCTTGTTCACTTAAAAGGAGTGCAGTGGTCATATTGATTATAAGCGTTTATAGACACCAAGTTCATTCTTGCAGGTCGGACAGGAATGTTTTGCATTTTTCAGCCGGTCAACACAGAAGGGGATGAGACAGCAACCTAGAACAAAGCTGGAGAGGACACCATGTATAGTCAGAATCAAATACTCACACAATATATGATTCAACATTGTCTTCTAATTCCATCATTGAAATAAAATGTAGGTTAAATGTGAATGCCTTTCACAAAAACTACATCATGAATCAGAATCAGAATCAGATTTATTGGCCAGGTATGCTTACACGCACAAGGAATTTAACTTTGTTGAACTGTGCTCTCTTATGTACAGGTACAACATTAAATACCAACCATAAACATAATAAGAAAAGAAGAAATGCACCACATGTTTTATCCATGAATGAATGCTTCATGCTGGAAAAACTGGGGCTTTGCTGCTAATGCTGCGTCTGAAAAGGTGAATACTATAAGTAAAGAATGAAAGATGTTGAATATACAATGATAAAGCTGGTGCTTTATGGCAAATGCTGCGTGCTGTAGAGGTAAAAATATTGTATACGGCTCCCCAATGAGCTGAATGTTGTACTAAGTTTTTTAAGTTAATAGGCTGAAAGATGTGTAGGGAGTTATGTGTCAAATAGTTGTTGTGTAAAAGAACATTTTGAATGCCTTGCAGCATTAATGAATTGATCAATTAAAGTTGTACTCCCTCTTACCCACAGAGGAAGAGTCCTCCACAAAAAAGGTACGTCAGCAGACCAGAGGAGTAGTCCACCTTGGTGAGAACTGTCTGATTACACTTTGGACAGAAAACCTGAACTGGATTGTCTCCCAGCAGGTCGACTGTAATGGAAAAGAAGAAGAAGAAGAAAATATTCAGGAATAGAATAGAAGCTAAACGTCTTTTATACAATCCAAATGTTTTTTAGTTGACAGTGATTGTTACACAAACAGACAGTATGGACTCACCAACAGGCACTTGAATGTTTGTCATTGTTCCTGTCGACAAATGATTTGATAGATGTATTAAAAACAGAGGGCAACATGTTGCGACAAATCCATAATTTGCAGATCACAGAAAGATTTCAAATAATGATAACTTCTCAATTATTTACAGTGACAAATAACTTAACACAATATCTCCATCTACTGATAATTATTGATTATTCATAAACTATCACAATACGATATAATTTTACTTTTTTGGGGACTAAAAACACCTAATATGTGGTAAATAATTTGAACAGTTCTTGATGTGAGCAATTGTCTTAGTGTCTAAGGATATTTTTGATCCCCCCAAAACGTTTTAAACAGTGACATTCATGTACTTTTATGTTGTGTGTGTCATTCAACATGCATTAGAAAATCAGTATAAAGTAATTTAAATCTACTGCAATATATTACAAACAATCTCTCAATATAACAAAACTACAAATTACCAACTATACATCATAAAAATACTGACACAGTGATTTAAACAAACTAACAATAACTTGTACTCACAGAGTTAGTTGGAGAAGTTTGCCTGCAGAGAGGAGAGCTTTCCTCGTATAACTTTAACCTTCCCTGCCAACCTCGTTTACTTCTCCACAGGTCATAAGATCGCTTAAATTGCTGTGCAGACTTCACTGACCCAACCCCACAATGTACCCTGTGATAGCGGAACATCACTTTAAACAGTTACCTTCTCACACAGTAGATTTTCTTATTTCTAAGTGAACAACTTAAAACTCTATTGGCCCGGGATGCAATCCAAATTTAACCATAGTTTGTTGTAATACTTTTCATTTCATGACTTGAGTAACGGTTGTTTTTACTTTACCTGTTTTTATCTCTTCTTAACCATTTCTTAGTGAGCCATGGCCTATAGGAGGAAACCTATTTTGTTCCACTGTGTGAGTTGGAGTTCAATATACAAAATGTAGATTTACATATTCACACACAATCTTTTCTTCAGTGTAAATGTATTTTCATCATAACCCTCCCTCTCCTTGTCTTAAAAACAATTGCTGCTGTGTGTTTAAACGGCCGTTTTTAGTGTTTATAAGCACAAAAAAAATACTTTAAGCAACCTGGTTTGTTGAAAAGCATGTGAAACATCTCAGTGCATAAAACTAGAGCTGAATAACCTTCTATTCAACAGAAATTAACAGCACATGGTCCGCCAAACAAATTAGATCTGCTGTTTTGCACTCTGCTGAAGATAGAGGAAGAGGTCACAGTGAAACAGCAGCCAGGGAAAGGTTTACATAAACTAGTTTTTTTTTGTCCAACTTAATTCTATCCTCAAAATGCTTTGACAATTTCCTAGAAAAGTTAAGACATTACATTTTTTTATAGAAATGCTTGTTTTTGCTCCGCCTTTTCAAGAGTTTAATAAGGGATTTTTTTTTTGATGCACACGAGAAGCTTATTTTTTTCATTTCTTTTTCTAAATCATCATGAAATCGTAGAAAACAGCAGATATTAACTTTGTTTTACACGCAGAGATCCTGCAAAGCCAGAAAAAGGGTTTAAAGGAGCAACTTATGAAATGATTTTTAGTTCATGATAGATGGCAAGTCGTCCTTTAAATAAGGTTACAAATACAGTGATTGCAAATTTCCTCAAATGTACTTCTTTATCTTTTACATATTGTTTGGTTTTTGGACATGAATGCACTGGTTTTGTTCAACGACTTAGATGCAACATAAATATTTAAATCAGCCATCTCAGACACCGGCCACTGTATCACAAAGGAAAACAATAAGGTGAAAGAATTTTAATCAGTAAAAACAGGTGCAATATATCACATGTAAACGATTGCAGCATCTCAAGTCTTAATACCTGAATAGTTACAAAGAAATAGTATTTGAATGAGTCAATGATTCCTGTAAAAATAGATAACAAAAGAACTATATCCCCTTCAAACACAAAAGAAAAATCTTGCAAATTATTTCAAGTGCTCATTGGCTCACCTGCAGAACAGTGAGCAGATGCTGCATCTTCAGTATCAAATAAGTCTCAGCTTCATCATTAGCCCTCTCACTCCTGCAGCCAAACTCTACAGCACTAACCTGTGGTCAAGCACTTCAAGGAATGGGGGGGGGGGGAGGTAGGGTAGGGGGTGCCATCAGCAACGCTAATGCTGCGCCTGATGGCATATCACAGCATCCAACATAGTGTAATTAATTAATTAATTAATTAATTAATTAATTATCTTAAAGGCAGGAGGAACCATGCTTTTGTTTGGATACATTTTCTGATCGCATACTCAAATCCTTCATTTTTTTTCCTGATAATTCAGCATATTGTACATTGTCCCACTTTGCCTTTTCTCTTGTAATGATGTTAAGAGTCAAATGGAAAAATTCCTTCAGTATCTTTCCTTTTATATTTTGGTTCTGTGTAAAAAAAAAAAAAGAAAAAAAAAGAACAAATGCAAGAATAAAATTATTTACAGAAGCATTAAGCGGACATGCATCGATACATTTTATTTTACTCCCTTTTTTCTATTTTCTCGAGATCACGACTTAATGATCGGGTTATTTCAGGATTACAACAATTTTCCCGTTATAACAAGTTCATTTCTGTTGTTTTCTCAAGACCTGGAGAAAATAAATCAGTATCATGGGGGAAACAGGGTTTTTATTGATTAGATTTATTTCGAGGTAACAACATAAATCTTGAGAAAACAAACTTGAAATGACTTTCCATCACAGTAAACAGAGTACAATTAAATGTATGGATGTCTGCTTAGGCTTTCTTTGATGAATACAAAAGAGCTGTGATTATCTCATTTGAGTTTTAATTTTATTAGATTAAACCATCACTAATAACTATCTTACAGAACTTGTCTTCTCTCTCTTTATAGTGTTTGCCAAAGATAGCGACACTTCATTTCTAGATTAGTGTTTTCACCTGTTCAAATTTCCTGAGCTGTTTGTTCTGAAGAGTAGGAGGAGGCCTCTTTGGCTTGTTTGGCTTCTCTTTCAAATCTTGAGGTTAGTGAACACTGAAGGAATCTTAACCTTGACAAATAGTACGACATCCTGACACAAGCTGAGCCAAAGCAGCTCTGTTTGCAGACCCTTACGATGAGAAGTCCTCTGAAGCCTTGGTGTAAAGCTGCTTCAGTCTGTGTAGCTCTGACTTACATTGGCACTGCACTGTTGTATTTCTTGCAGTTGTCACAAGATAAATAACCTATAATCAGTTCTGTT